TGTGTGTGTGTGTGTGTGTGTGTGTGTGTGTGTGTGTGTGTGTGTGTTGGGGGTGGGCTTCCTCCTATCCTACTCTGGCTCTTTAAGTACTTGGGTGAAAACCACATTACAATTAAGTTCTGTTTTTTCCAGTGTGGATTAGACACCAGTTTCGTTTTTCTCTTTTGCTAATGAGTCACCTTTGCTAATTTGGTTAGCTTCAAATCAAGAAACAGATCAGTGGTGAAGGGAGGTTGTTCCGAGGCTCCTCTGCTTCTCAGAATCCCCCGTGGAGTTAGTTCTGTAAGACTTCACACTCTCAGGGAACAGCCTCAAGAAGTTTGGCCTTGGGGTATCCATGCTGGGACCTAGCAAGATCACCTGAGGCGCTGATATCCTTTAAGTGTTTGTACATCTTCCGTACACTTTTTGCAAAATTTACTTTTGTTTAGGTATGATGTGTATACATCTACATCTATGCGGTGCATGTCAGGTGTGTGCAGGTGCCCATGGAAGCCAGAGGAAGGCATCAGCTTCCTTGGAGCTGGAGTTTCAGGTGGTTGTGAGCTACCTGATATGGATGCAGAGAATAGAGCTGGCATCCCATGGAAGAAGAGGAAGTGTTCTCAATAGCTCGTCTATCTCTTTACTCCTCCCAGATGCTGTAAACCATCTCTAGATTATGTCGAGTACACAAAGCAATGTGAATGCTGTATAAATAGTTGCAATGTCTAGATAAATGATAAGGAAACAGATCTGGGCATGCTCAATAGAGACACAGCTGAAGGAATGGTGCCAATCAGTCTACAGTTGGTGGGATCCTCCAGAGCAGAACCTACATTCAGAGGACCTGCTGTATATGTCTTAAAGGTTTTGAAAGGAATTTTAATAGCCAGCAGTGCTTGGGATTCACCAGTTTGGAGCACTTGGGCTCCAGCTGTGCGCTTTGCTCTTGGGTGGTACAAAGGAATGTTTGTCTTTTTTGTGTAGACTGTAAACAGCCGCCGACCTCCACACTGCGTACTTTATGAGGGGGGGATCAGTTTCCCATTTCCTGCAGCGCTCACTGTCACAGGTTTGAGGGGCAGCTAAGGGCAATGATAAAGCCCAGTTTGGAGTACGAAGCCTGGTGTGCAGGGACAGGAACAGCCCCTTGGTGTCTATGTGGCCCTGGGCAGCTCATTTTCTTTTCCATCTGAGGTTGACATTGGAAGTCACCTACTGGGAAAACTTGGGTGGTATCTAAGGGTGGCAGTTTCTAGCATGGAAGTGGATTATCCATCAGACACATCAGTATCTGTGGCCATGGTATCCTGTGGGGAGATGATTCCTTCACTTACTCTGTAAATGCTCCTTGAATATCTGCTATGTGCAGGGATACTGGAGTGAGGAAGGTCAGCAAGGTCAAACCAGCTATTGAAGAGTGGGAGATTTACGAGACATGTGCACAGCAGGGTGGTAAATGTTGCCTAGTCCCGGCGAGACCCTTACAACAGCTACTTTGGTGTCTTTTGCAGATTGGCAAAGTCCACGCTGCTCCTCATTCCTTTATTGGGGGTTCATGAGGTCCTCTTCTCTTTCATCACTGATGACCAACTTGAAGGATTTTCAAAACTTATTCGACTCTTCATCCAGCTGACCCTGAGCTCCTTCCATGTAAGTAACCTGACTGTTGCCTTGGCTTGGAGAAGAAAAGTTCGCAGGGTCCAAACAGCCTTGAGGACAGCTGTGGACCAGCGCAGTTCTCTAGCATCAGCAGGCTTTACTGGTGAGGAGCTGTGATGTTAGAAGGGTGGACTGATGGGGAAGTGCTGCCTGGGTCCTGCCAGCATGATTCAGTGACTCCAAAGGGATAATCAGTCTTGTTCCTGGACTGTGACTCATGATTGTATTAACTGTGTCAACATGAAGCCTCTTATTAAGGGTCTATTTATTGCCGTGTTATCTGAGGAACATTGTACAAATGGAACCTTTTCCATGCATCCTGTGACATGTATGCACACAGCACACCATACCATTGGGGCAGGGAGTAAAGAGTCCAGATCAGGAGTCTTCTTATCCGGACAGATGTGTGTGCACAAAAACTAGAAACATCTCAGCTCTGGTTACCCAGATGTGATGGCTAACCACTATACCTATGAACTGACAGCTTAGCATGACCCTCAATTTTATTCTTTCTCATGACTTTAGAAGTCAGGCATCCAGATAGGACATGGGATGGGATGGCTGAGCTCTGGCCTGGTGAAGCCTGCTGGGACCCCCTGGCTTCTTTACATATCTACAAACAGCCTGAGCTGGGGCTGGCTTCATTTAAGTTGAATTCCTGGGATCTCATTTTTTACTATCAACTTATGTTCCTTGCTTCCATTTAGTCTGAGGATCTTGTGCTTTCCTTGTGCCCGCTCCTTGTGGCTTCTCCGCAGGGTGACTGGCTTTTTATGTGGCAACTCAAGTCTCCTAAGAGCATTGGGAACAGGGGCCGCTGGGCATTTCAAGTGTGTAAGCTTGGAGCTGACATCTTGATGATTCCACTGCATTCTGCAGTTTAAAGCAAGCCACTGGCCTGGCCTAGAATGAAGGAGGGGTGATACTGAAGAGGGGCATGGGTGAAGAGAAGCACAGCTCAGGAGCAAAGGCCACTAAGACAACAGAACTCGGGTAACAGTATAGGCATAGCCAAATGAAAAAAGAGGTTGTGAATTTGAAAGAGAGTGAGGAGGGGTATATAGGAGGGTTTGGAGAGAGGAAAAGGAAGGGAGAAATGATGTGATTATATCATTATCCCTCCACACAAAGAGAGAGTTCACCAAAAGAACAACAACAACAACAAAAACCTATAGTGTAAAGTAAGCTGCCACCCTGGCCTAGAGTGAAAGGGAGGAACGGAACTGGACAGGACAATTGTCAGCAGTAAGCATTCTAGGACACTAGCAATCTACCTAGACCAGGGTTTGTTTCAGAAAGATTACCAAAACAGAACAGGGACATCAGGAGGCTGCCACTGTTTCAATGACTTTTTAAAAAAAAATCTATGTACCCTACTCATCAGTGGGGTGACCCTGGGGAGAGTTAGTGACTTTCCTGCAGGAGGCTAGTGTGATTTAGAATGGGATGAAAGCAGGAAAACCCACAGGCTCAGGCATGGGTCAGCCACAAGGAGACCTTTTTAGCAAAGGAACAGGGGAAATTGATTACAATCACAGATCGGACAGTCCTATTCAGGGCAAGAAATAAGAGTTCCCAGCTCTTTAATGGGGAGATGTGAGAAAGAGGTTGCTGTGGTGGGCTCCCCTCCAGCTCTCAGGGTGACTAAAAAAATTGTACACATGTGCCCAAGTTTGCAGACATCCTTAATCAAGATCAGATGGAAGATGGATCTGAGTTCCTTAACATGAGAGGACCTGGAAAGAAAAGCTGTGGAATAGTACATTGTCTGAACCTGGAGTGTGTTCTTAAATTATCCCTCTATCTTTTGCCTCTTAACTTTTACCTTTCTCCATTTCTGTATACCTTTCTTTGCTTCTTTCTCTGTGGCTTGCTGTGTAGCTGGGCCCTGATGTCTTCCTCTCTTTCTCTTTTCCTCGTATCTTGATCTTCTCTCCCCAGATTTCTCTTCCTATTTATTCTGTGTGCCTGCCAGCCCCACCTGTCCTTTGTCCTCCTAGCTATTGGTCGTTCAGTTCTTTCTCTGACCAATCAGGTGTTTTAGGCAGACAAAGTAGAACAGCCTTACAGAGTTAAGCAAATGCAACACAAAAGAATGTAATACATCTTTGCATAATTAAACAAATGTTTCACGGCATAAACTGATTAACACATCTTAAAATTATATTCAACAACAGGCAATTGTGCATCTCATGATGGAGATTCTGGGAACTGAACCCGAGTCTTTTTGATTTTTCTTTTTTGAGACAGCCCCGACTGTCTTGGAACTTGCTCTTGTAGACCAGGCTGGCCTCGAACTCACAGAGATCAGCCTACCTCTGCCTCCTGAGTGCTGGGATTAAAGGTGTGCACTACCACTGCCTGGCATGCAGAAAGCATTCTTAACCATTAAGCCATCTCATGAGCCCAAGAACCTATATTTTAAATGTTTTTTTTTGTCTAAAACCTTACTGAGGGCCAAGAAGTACACTGACAATCTCAGCACTCAGGAGGCTGGAGGAGGAGGAGGAGTGTTGGAGTTTAGGCTAGCCTGCTCTGCATAGTGAATTCCAAGCCAGTCTGGGGGTACAGGGTGATACCTTTTGTGATCTGCCCTTCTTGCAAGAAGAAACATGTAACAACTGGCGTTCATTTTGGGACCTAAAGTTGCAAGATAGACAAAGAAACAGAAAGGTGTGATTCATACTCAGGGAGAAAAAAAATCAATGAAAAGTCTCCAAAAAGTAGGATGTTTAGAATGGAAACCTTATTAGAACAGTGTCCTCTGAGATTTACGGCAGCAGAAGAAAGACAGAGTGAACTTCAGGAGAGGCCTGATGAGATGATCTGGCTTGAATCACAGAAAGAAAACAGTAAAGAAATGAACAGAGCTTGGGAAACTCATGTGATGTTCCACACAGCTATGTATATCCTTGGGGATTCCAGAGAAAGGTGAGACAAGAAGTAAGGGGGGGGGGAACTCTGGAGAAAGAAGGTTTGAAAACTTTGGTGAAGAGCTTGAATCTATGTTCCCAACTGGCTGGAAGTCACATAAAACAAAGGTGTTTACACTCAGGGAACTTGGAGTCAAGATGCCCAAAGTCAGCGGGACACTATGATTTAGGGCAAATTCTACTAGGTCTTTTTTATTGTTTTTAATTTCTATATATTCCATTCCCCTTACTTTCCTTCCCCTTTCACCCTTTCCCTGCTCCCCATGCTCTCAATTTACTTGGGAGATCCTGTCTTTTTATCCTTCCTAGGTGGATCCACGTATCTTAGGGTCTTCTTTGTTGTCTAGGTTCTCTGGGGTTGTGAACTTTAGACTGGTTATTCTTTGTTTTGTCTCTTTCGTTTTATGAGTGAGTATATATTATATTTGTCTTTCTGGGTCTGGGTTATCTCACTCAGTTTGGTTTTTTTTTTTTCTAGTCCTGTCCATTTGCCTGAAAGTTTTAAGGTATCATTATATTTTACCACTGAGTAGCACTCCATTTTATAAATGTACCACATTTTCTTTATCCATTCTTTGGTTGAGGGGTATCTAGGTTATTTCCAGGTTCTGACTATTATGAATAAAGCTGCTATGAACACAGTTGAGCAAATGCCCTTGTGATATGATTGAGCATCCTTTGGGTATATACCCAAAAGTAGTATTGCTGGGCCTTGAGGTAGATTGATTACTAATTTTCTGAGAAATCGCCATACTGAAATCCAAAGTGGCTATTCAAGTTTGTACTCCTACTAACAATGGGGAAGTGTTTCCTTTACCCCACAATCTCTCCAGCATAAGTTGTCATCAATGTTCTTGATCTTGGCCATTCTTACCGGTATAAGATGGTACTCAAAGTTACATTTCTCTGATAACTAAAGATGTTGAACATTTCCTTAAGTGTCTTTCGGCTATTTGAGATTCCTCTGTTTAAGTCTGTACCCAATTTTTTTTTATTGGATTATTTGATTTTTTTAATGTCTAGTTTCTTGAGTTCTTTATTTTGGAGATCAGTCCTCTGTCAGATGTGGGGTTAGTGAAGATCTTTTCCCATTCTATAGGCTGCTGTTTTGTCTTGTTGACTGTATTCTTCACTCTACAGAAGTTTTCAGTCTCAGGAGGTCCCATTTATTAATTGTTTCTCTCAGTGTCTGTGCTATTGGGGTTATATTTAGGAAGTGGTCTCCTGTGCCAGTGCATTCAAGGCTACTTCCCACTTTCTTTCCTATGAGATTCAGTGTGGTTGGTTTTATATTGAAGTCTTTAATCCATTTGGACTTGAGTTTTGTGCATGGTGATAGATGTGGATCTATTTTCATTCTTCTACCTGTTGATATCCAGTTATGCCAGCATCATCTGTTGAAGATGCTTTCTTTGTCCCATTTTGTAACTTTAGCTTCTTTGTCAAAAACCAGGTATTCATTGGTGTGTGGATTGATATCTGGGTCTTCGATTTGATTCCATTTGTCCTCCTGTCTGTTTTCATGCCAATACAAAGTTGTTTTTGTTCCTGTAGCTCTGTAGTAGAGTTTGAAGTCAGGGATGGTAATGCTTCCAGAAGTTCCTTTATTGTACAGGATTGTTTTGACTATTCTGGGTTTTTTATTTTCCCATTTGAAGGTGAATATTGTTCTTTCCAGGTCTGTGAAGAATTTTGCTGGGATTTTGTTGGATATTGTATTGAATTTGTAGATGGCTTTTGGTAAATTTGCCATTTTTACTGTTTATTCTTCCTATCCAAGAGCACGGGAGATCTTTCCATTTTCTGATATCTTCTTCAGTTTCTTTCTTCAAAGATTTAAAGTTCTTGTCATGCAGGCCTTTCACTTGTTTGATTAGTTAACCCAAGATATCTTATTTTATTTGTGGCTATTATAAATGGTGATGTTTCTCTGATTTCTTCTTCTTCCCATTTATAATTTGCATATAGGAGGGCTATTGATTTTTTTGAGTTAATCTTGTATCCTGCCACATCCTGAAGGTGTTTATCAGTTATAGGAGTTCCCTGGTAGAATTTTTG